GTGTGTGTGGCCAGCTCAGCCCACCAGGGGGCGGGGCTGGCTGGCATGTGGTGCTGGGGGATTGAACCGTGGTCCATGTGCTTTGCTAAGCTTGTTCTAAGTAGGTGCTTTAGACCACTGAGCCATCTCACCAGCCCTATTCACATTAATTTTAAAAATAAAGCAGCTGGGTGTGTGGTACACAGCTGTAACGTCCAGTGCTCTGCAGTCAAGGCAGACCGTCTAAGTCAGCAAGACTCTATTTGTAACTCTAAAGGGCTGGGAACTTGGCTCGTAGCCCCTGGGCCAATCCCAACATTACCTCCAATGCCCAAAACAAAAAGAGTAAGCAAAAAAACCAACAAAATCAAATCTACACTATATTCTTTCACACATCTACTTAGGATGCAAAATGCTCCAATACTTCAATTCTTTTTTTTTTTGCAGAACTGGGGATTGAACTCAGACCCTTGCGCTTGCCAGGGAAGCACTTACTTTACTAAGCCATCTCCCTGGCCCCCAATACTTCAATTCTTATGGAAATTTGTTTTACCTACCAAAAACTACAAAATGCCACTTTGTTCATCACAATATCCACCACAAATGGTTGAATAAACGAAAGTATTTCCATAAGCTGAAACACATACAGTACAGTTGTACAAAGCAATGAAGAAGATGACTATATTGTGATATAAAGCAATCTATTAGATATACATTTAGGACAAGACAGGACATGTACAAAGTAGATGCCTTTTATGTAAGGAGGACAGGAGCAAAAAAAAGAAACACATATGCACATATATAGTATATTTTTTAAAATATTGTATAGCAAGAACTCAAATCTGATTATTGCTCAGTTGGACTCAATTCCCAGGACCACCCCCCAAAAAACCCTCAAAATGCACTTTGCAGTTTTATGGTTAGTAGTAATATTGTTCAACTCAGCATAAGATACACAGAAAACTCCCCAAATTAGTCTATGATGGAAAACTTAAAATATCACTATGTATTTATAAGTTATTTTTCTCTTTTAGTAAGTAACTGCTCCTAACTTTACTTACTGAAAAGGACTGAAAGCAATGACAACCAGTAGCATAGAATACCTAGCAAGAAATCACTAAAAGGGGCCAAGGAGATAGTGAGCTATCTCACCTGTGTACTTTGGCTCAGTAGAATAAGCGCTTGCCTGGCAAGCACAAGGGCCTGAGTTCAATCCCTGGTTCCACAAAAAAAAAAAAAA